CGAACCGCACACCTTGAGGTTAGCAGCCCAAGCCGTAACCACTCTGCAGGCAGGGCTCCCAATAAAGGGCAGACTAGGCCATCCAAGACCACAGAGGACCCAAAAGGGCACATCATACTCATCTCCCGGGGAGCTGGTCCTGTCCATTCCTATTGCTAAAGCTGAGCCTGTCCCTGGGGAGAGCAGTGCTTCGGAGGGTTGGGAGCAGAGGACCGGACGTCCTGGGAAGGCCACGCCCTCACTCAGTGGTCCTGGAAAACGGACTTGGCCTTCCTAAGCCCGAGGTCTCCATCCAGCAATGGACCCCGTCCGAGCAGCGCCCACCTGAGACATTGCTGGGTGGTAAGTGAGGTCGGTAGAGGCGGGGCCCCGCTAGTTTCCCAGGTCAGCCAGGAGGCGGGGCTGTGCCTCTGGACAGTCCACAGAGCAGATCCTGGCCCTGCCCTGCCGTGGCTGCCCCCATCACCACTGTGTACATCACAGGGAGGGTCGCCTGCCCTCTCACCACCCCAGCCACGCCAGGCTGGCACCTAGAGGTGAAGGGCCAAGGGCGCAGGTCCCGCCAGACATCCTGTCAGAGAAGTCCACCCCCCCCCAGGCCCAGCAGGCCTCAGATTCCAGTTCGTACCCCACTCCAACCCTCACGGACCCAGGCAGGCCAGGGCGAGGGTAGGGCCACAGAGCATCAGGGCTGGGGCGGTGAGCCCCACAGGTGGGGGTGGATGGAGACCTGGGGGTCAAAGTGGTGCTCGGCAGGGGCTCACCCTGCGTGAAGACCCAGCCGCGCTGCTGCCGGCTCTGCTCGGAGGCCACCATGCGCACTGTCTGCGTCACCGCCCCGTAGACCTCCCGAAACCACTGGATGTCCGACGGGCGCCGGGTGTCGCTCACCAGCTGCAGGGAGGGATGCAGGCAGGTTGACCAACAGGACATGGTGGGAGGGGAGGGGCAGCCCCAGCCCCCTGAAGCAGCAGGACCCCAGGGGTACTGTAGCCCACCCGGACAGGCCAGCCACGTGGACTGCCAGCCCCTCCCCCTCCAGGGAGCACCGGGTCAGGTCCGTGCAGCTACTGCTTGCCCACCGCTGTGGACCCAGGACAGTTCTGTGTGGGAAACAGAAAGATTTCTCCCAAGTCGTCTCCCCCAAATCTATGTTAGACTTAGGACACTGCTTGCAGCTAATGGTAAATGATTGTCAAGTTACCTCCCTGAAGCCAGTCAGTTGCCAGACTACTGTCTGGTCCCACCACAGGTAGGCCTGCTCCCTGCTGTTAAGGACAATGGGCTACTTCTCCCTAAAGGCTTGTGACCCTCAGTCTGGTCCCTGCAGGTGGGGTTTACACCCTACTGATAATGATTTCTATAGTGAGCCAGAGAACAGGTCAAACCTGCTCAGTGACATCCAAAGTTAGGCTGTCATCGTGAATCTAGGATCCGCCCATCTTGTCACATGTGTACCCCCAATCCCTCCCCTTCCTATTGTGTGGATACCCCCAGACCACCCCCCTTCCATTATTGTATTACCATGTTTCCCGAAAGTAAGACATTCCCCGAAAATAAGACCTCCCCGAACATAAGGCCCCCCGAAGCTACTGTAACTC